AGCGTTACGGCTGGGGGCAATCGACTGCACAATGCCCTGTACAAAGTACTATTACAGATAAAGTCAGTCGAAAATGAAGGACATATGCGGATGACATGCTTCATTATCCTTGATCTGAGTGCTGATCACTAGTAGTCTACCTGCCTGCTGACTAAAGCTGTAAAACTATCGTAGGTGTAGGTTTTCCAGTTTTGCCGGACTGACAGACATTGCTTTAAGCCAATATACTCTTTCTCACATTTTGAGCAGAGCATCATAACGTTGTTGCTGAATCGATAACAAATCAGTAGAAACAAATACTATGCAGTTTTTATTCATACACTACATACATACCTTGCTCGCTATATTTGTTAAGCATGGGCAAGGCCATTTTCATAAGAGTTGTATTAATGTTTCAAGTGGGAATTTGCAAACATAAAAGCAGACTGCACAGACTTAATTTTCATCAATTATATAATTCAAACACATTTTTAAAAGTTGATTTCGAAGATTTATGCAATAGGAAGTTTTTTGAAACTTTGATACATTTCAACTCGTTTCTATTGTGATGGTCGTGATTCCGATTGAGTAAGAATGGATTTCGAATAGCTTTCCTTCCATAGCAATTGGTAGCTGTATGCTTTTTCATCAACTTATTGCTTAAAATGCCAAAGGCAATAATTTTTTTGTATTGGCCTAACGCAGCCTTAATTGGGAACAAGGTTGCGCTTTGTTTTTTCAAGCAATTTTTAAATAATAATTTTTCAAAAAAGAAATACTCAGCTAAATAAATAAAAGTTCATCTGTGAAAATTGCAATTGCTTTTCAACAGAAAGAATGAAATGGAATGAACAAATGAAATAACAATTAATTTGCAGACGAGGCAAGACAAAACATATTTTAGTTTATTCTGCAATTTACTTTTCATTCCGACAACTCGCAGGCAAAACTTTTTTTTCAAAATCTAGAACAGCCCCGATAGATATAGAAGTAGTAGATTCTGTCGATTGTAGAACATTTAGCATTGTAGAACAAAAGCTGGTACAAATGAATGGAAACACAATTGCTGGTATATTCCACAGAGAACATCATAAATACTACTTATAATATATTTATAATAATAAAGCCAATAGCACCTTATATCAATACTATTGTCGAGCGTTACTTGGAAATCCGGCCCTGGATATAATAACCATATAAGCAAAAATGTTCAATGCTTTTATAATAAATTCAGAAATGTATACCATGAATAAATTATAAACAAGCAGTTTACAGCTTCATCTTCATAATTGTTGACTAGGAACGCAGTCTTATGGCTGCTATCTAAATCGATTGAGAACGACTGAATGAATGAATGTTGAATACTGAATAGTCGATTTGTGTTGAGCATTTTAAGCTATTTTGATTTATAGCTTCTTGGCCAATTGCTTTGTGGGAAAACTGTTTATGGATTGGCCGGCAAATAAAGGAGCTGTTGCTATGCGACAGGGAACCCAAGATTTAAGCGCAGTGATTGTGGGGCAAGCGTCCATGAAATTGAATTTTCTTTAAATTGTTGGCCATTAGCCAGAGCCAACGCGACGACTTTGCCATCAATCAATTGTACGCCAAACAAGCATTTATACAATCTTTTTACATTAAGCCCTTCCAGCAACAGTTGCCTAGCATTCATATCAGTCGGTGGAATGCATCGGATAACATTAGGCACCACCGTTCAGTCCCTAAATCAGCACTGACTGATGCGCTCCAATTTAGACACTCTCTTCTTGACCAATTACCAGTTATATTATCGATAACACTGATCATGTCTGTATATATAGGCAGCACCGATGTTGGGAGCCGCCCTGACGTCTGTCAAAACATCAAGCGTCGTCCGAACTGAACTATTTTTTCCGATATCTACAACAAATCGTTTCCCTGTGGCTCTCTCATAAATATTTGGGTTGCCTTGCTCCGCCATAAGTTCCATCCTCACAAGTTAGATAACGGCGGAATTGAATATTTGGTTGCCTTTGCCGACTTAACCTGCTTTTACAGCGAAGTTTAGCCAGTACAGCAATTTGATGACCTATTCGATCAGAACAATCTAAAGCACTCCGATGCAACAAATCCATTTAAACTATCCATTGTAAAGGCCGCAATTTATAATGTGCTTCCACTAGCACAAACCAAATCTCCAAATGGACCTTTTTTAAAATTTTATAGTCTTGATTAAAAATTTGTTGTCGACATGATGAGTTTGGTTAAACTCGTCTAAATTATCATTCTGGTCCCTCCAGATTGGGGAATCGGCTGCCTCGGTGTTGCCGTGAAAATAACGTGCAAGTGAAAGCAGGTGTTTGGGTTTGAAAGCCAATCGCGGTGCAAAAAATAAAAAAACATAGTACTTTTTTAATAATATTAATTAATGAACAATTTAAAAAAACAAACGAACCTCACATTTAATATACATACATACGTACTTTAAAGAAGCTTATTCTGATGCTTTCTTTTTTTGGAGCTCAATTTAGAATAAATACATATTAAAATGCCCTTTTCTATAAGGCAATCATAATCGAAAAGTCAAAAGAAACTTTAATGCGCTGCCATACTACAAAGATAAAGAATCCAACTGCTGTTCTTCCCAAGATTCGGAATAAATTTCCATTACTGGAACTCAATAAAAGCAGTCGAACATGGCATATAATCAAAATACTCTCTGCACTTTGTGAATGAGTATAAAAATGATTGTATCTTTTGCAAAAACTCTCACAATATCACAATATCAAAAATGTATTTATAATAAATTTATATAAGAGCTATTGACACGTGTACAGGAAATTATTATTATTGAGAAATCGATTTCCAGAATATTGTGAAACTGGCAGCCAATGAATGTTTCCGCAGAATTTAGTCGTTCTCAATTACGTACGGACGTTGTCGTCGTTTCTCATTGGCCTCTGTCGCATTCCCACTCATGACTCGTGCTTTTTCCCTTAATGCGTCTAGGCCTTATATTATTTAACAGTTAAAGCCAACTGTCAACATATTATGCCTGTCATATGGCATGGCACATACATCCTACTTCACCCGGCTTTGCCAGGCCAAAATCTTATGCCTTAATTTTCCAGCAATTTTCTGAATCGATTAAATATTCATTCGATATTTTTTATAAAAGTACCTTGAAATTTAGGCCGATTGGACCAAAATTAAACTTTTCCCCAAATAAACTTAGACCCCTATTTTTCATATTGGTCATGGGCTTAAAGAAATAATATCTTGACAGATTTTCGATTACCAATGTTTATCTGTATTCATTTTTAAATTTCAAACCCAAATCTCCTTTATGTACTCCGGTTGTTCCAAACTTACTTTCCAGATAAGAGAAATAACTTTAGGGGAATAACTGATGTGGCTAAAAGCGAAGGATAACAGCTTTTTTGACAGACTTGGTTCGTTTGCTTGAATTGAGCATGAGCCTAAACTTATTCGGAGCTTCAAAAATCCATCTCCTTCTCTTCCATGATAGCTTCAAAAACTTATATTTGCACCTTAACAAATATTTTGGCCGTATACAATAAAACAGATTGCAAAAAAACTCTGGCAAGGTTCTCATTTACTTTTAATTTAAATTGTGCGGCTGTAATTTCATTATGTGTGTGGATGTATGTACCATGTCGCAGATTCTTAATTTGCTTTCGTGGCATATTGCATTTTACTGCTCGTAGAATTATTTTCAAGATGGAAAGCCAAAGCCCCATACGCCGCAAATGGAACTGGCACCCATACAAATGCTGGAGACTTGAAATTTAAAGTAAATTGTTTTATATACCACCCGTAGAATAAGATCATGGTATCAATAAATATCGAATTATCGACAAGAGACAGATATACATAATTTTCTATGTAGATTCTCGTACAATATTCACAGATTCGAAATATTTCACTTTTTTAATTCAAAGTCAGCCGCACATGAGCTTATGAGTTATTCATAAATTCATTAATGAGTACCTGCAAAAAATCCTGGAATTCATATTGGACTATGTTTCATGACAAATCCAAAGCGTGTTGCTCCAAAATATTTTATTGAGTGAGGCATACAGAGAATATTGTAGTCGATCAAAGTCAACTACAGCGTTCTCACTTCTTTCGAATATCACTACTTATTACAAAAAACCAGAGTCACAGTTTAGCCACACATGATTTTGGGCTTTGAATACGTCTATCTTTTTGTGATTTACGCAATTTTAATTGTATTAGCTTCTTAATTTCATCCGAAAGTTCATGATATATTTCTTTGTGTCTTTGAGTCTGTGCGAATATCATATAATAAATTGCAAATAACTCATTAAAATTTATTTTATATATTTTTTGTTGATTTTCGCAAAAGGGTGAAACCAGTCACAGGGATCTGTGCAAATCAGTTTGCAGGTCGGAGGAAACGTATGAAGGGTACGTCAATCTGTCAATCAGTCAATCAGACAACTGACCAGTATAATCTAGTTATTTATAGTTAAATGTATTATTATTATTATACCAGAGAACACACACATTTAGATTGGAAGTATATGCATATATAATTACAGCCATTAAAATAAAAATTATGAAACATTCAGTTGATTGCATTTTATTCCGCGAAAACGCGGTCAAGCAGTTTAGCGATGGGCGTGGTTCAGGACGAGTTTTATTCATATGCATACCTAATAAAAATACATCAGCCAATGCTGAATTCATTGAATAACTGAGGCATTAGCATTATGCGTACGGCGCGGGTCACATATTAATTAGCAGTGGAAGGACACACAAATTATAAAATTATTCCCCCATTCATTAAAAAAGAAAGGTGTATCCTGAATGGAGCCAGTTTTTTAGAGAAATATACAAGTTCGATTCACGGTTTGAGCCACATCTATTAAACAGAATTTGATATATATAATACTGTATATGGTGTATATATAAAAATTGGTATAGTTAAATATATTTGTATCTGTGTACCACATATTAAAAATTGCTAACCAAATGCTCTTTAATAACTTTTGCAGGCTATTATTCACGGTCAGCACGCAGACACATACCCAACTTGCCTCCTTGACGGGCCCCATTTGCATTCCGGAACCACTTCAATGCAAATTACACTGCTCATATAAAAGGCGTGGCAGGGCGGGCGTGCTGAAAATGTAAAATCAACACGTACACATAGAAAGTTTTGATCAGAATTGTATGGAAAACAAAGCCAAGCTGCAACAACAATAGCTGTGAGAGCAACGATAACAGCTTGGAGGTAATTAAGAAGTACTTGCGAGCGGTTATAAAAAAGGGCATGGCAATGGGCCTGAGCAGCCATCGGCTGGCAATTGCGCTGGCTCTGACAGTGCTAATTAGCTTTTGGCCGACTGGCAGTCATGGGGCAGCAGCCGTTGAATGTGCCGATTGGGTCAGTCCCAGTGAATGCAGCAATAGCACCGGTAACAACAACAACAACAACAACAACAAAATTAGCAACAATAGCAGCAACGATGCGGCTGGCAGCACCGCGTTGGACCGTTTAAATAGTTCGATGCGGCCAGACAATCTGCTGGAAATGGATTTGGAACAGGACGAAGACAATTGGCCATTGGAGCGTATTGTGTCCATCATTGTGCCGGTATTTTTTGGCATTATTGGCTTCGCCGGACTCCTGGGCAATGCGCTCGTCATATTGGGTAAGTCTCTTTCCCACTTAACTGCCTTCGTTCCGTAATTGCAGCTGCCTAAGTCTGAACCATCCATCGTCCTCATCTTTTTATGGCCCAGAGCCAATAAAACCCTCAGAGGTCGTTACATTAGCCAGCCCCGGTTGATAGCCGAATGGCCGTTGACTTTTGCCAAATTATGCGTAATAATTGCAAATATGTATTGTTGGCAAGCCGTTCATTTCCCGGCCTTAATATGCCATCCATAAACGTGCCACGCACAGCTCCAGAAAGCCAGCCACCGAGCTAATTGATTTTTTATATGCCCCAAATGTGTGTGCAACAGCAAAAGTTGGGGCCGAGGCCAGCGCATTGCAACTTTACGTTCACCACATTCAGTTTGTTGCATTAACAACGTTTATACAACAGATTTTGTTGCACTCTCCGGTTTACGGCCGCATTTTGAGTGCCATTTGATGAGCGAATATGCAAAAGCTTCAGAGACTATGAATTATGCCTTTTGGGAGGCCGATTCCGTGGGCCAACGGCTGTAACAGGCAGTAGGAGCCATCGACAAGCTATACATTTATGTGTGTATAAAATTGATACGGAGTATCTCCTGGTCGGGCACTCTCAACTAAGTCTAGTCGTTATGAAGAGTCCATCTGTCTTTTAAGGATGTTAAAAAATGCATTTTAGTACCATGGAAACGGGTGTCGGTTGGGTTGTGGAATATCATATTGCCTGGGAGATAGTACATAGACTATAGTGTTAAGAATTTGTAAGGGAATAACCACAACACGAAGGAAGACAAACTAATACTTTTTGTCTACCCAGTTCACAACGTGCAAAGGTTAATATTGATTTTAAGCAAGTCCATCTGTTGAACCCAACTTTACAACTTACTGATTTTGTCTAATATAATCATAGTTTAGAAAGCATACAATTTATTATTACTTTATGTATTTTACATTATGAATGTAATATTAACATTAACCGATAATTTAACCGTCAACAGTTGAAACTACACACAACTACTCAACTACAAAGTCAAGGCATGAAATAAAACCTGGATATGGATAATGAATGTGGAAAACCAGGTTCACAAACAGAATTCGAATTGTCAACCGTAGCAACAATTTTTTCTTTACTTGCAGCCTTGTTTTGATTTAGTTAAATATTTGTTAAACAAATTTATGATTTATAAGCATTTAAAGATCGATCGAAATTATTTTTTAGATTCAAGCAGCTGCACATATTTTTACTGTTAAAGCGGGCCTCGATTATTGTATATCAAGCAGCTCCAACATACCCTTCCTATATACTTTACTGGGTATTAAAAAATATAAATAAAAAAAACCATGGGCAAAGCTAAACGGATTTCGTATCCTGGCTGTTGTGCAGTTGGCTATGCCTCAAGCCACGGAAAGGATTATGCCCGTATTGGCCAACAGGCAGCAGAGCAACTGGCAACTGGCAACTGGCAACTGGCAAGTGGGAACCTGAAATCTGAAAACTCTGACCACGTCTATGAGCACGCTTGAGTGGCCAATTACAAAATTTATAACACGATTTTCCATGCGCCAGTTACAAATTTGTTGCTGCCCCACAGCTGTTTCTGGCCAACATCATTTGTGACATGTCTCCATCCCTGTGGTGCTGTGTGTCACAAAGGATGCCAACTTTATCCGACAAAGCCAAATGCAAATTGAAGTGGCAATGAGTCAATGCAGATGTCTCTTTGTTTTTTTTTTTCTGTCTGTTTTTCTTTTTTCAACCCAAAAATGAAACATATATTACAAATAAGCCACAAATATTGCTATGTTTGTTTCTATCCATCATTTTGTTAGCTGCCTTTCGCTTTTCGTGGCTAAAATTTCTTCTTTTTTTTTCTGGCCCAATATTGGTGTTGACAGATGTCAGAATTTAGTGGTTTGCTGTTGGAGATGTCATCCAAGATGTCCCTTTTGGCACATAGATGCTGACGTAAAGTGTACGCTCAGCCAAGAAACTGTTTATTTAAATGGATTACATTGATATTTTATGTATTATTATTCATGTTATTCTATTGCTTTTCTTCAATATAACAATTATTAAAATGACATTAAAACCTCGCTTGTACTCGTTAGCTTTTATAAATTGCCTGTCACATTGCCCACTTCGAACAGTATTTATTAAAATGTTGCATTTTCTGACTGACAGTACGAGTGGCTCGGCAAATGTCACAATATCACATAAGTCCGTTGATTATTATCAACACAAGTTTGTAGCTTTGGTTCAATTTCAGGCATATTTAATATGAAATATATTATGCGATTGTAGAACTTGACGCGTTTCCTTATAATCACATCAAGTATAATGTTATTTAACTTAAGGTTAACTGCAATAAAAAGTTAAGCCAATTGATTTGAAACTTTTGCAGCTGCCACGAAGAAGATTACAAACCATAACTTGTGAGCTTAAATTATTATGAAAGATTTAACTTTCACGCAGACTCGCCTTTTACATATATTTGCATAACTTCAGCTCACTAATACGCTAACACCGATAGACACTGCCTGGAGGCAGCACATTAGAGTCTGTTAATTTGCCATAAAATGCAGAGCACAGACATCCATTTAAGGCTTGAAGATACGAGTCAAAGGCAGACACTGAGGTTGATACTGATGCAGCTGCTTGCTTGGCTGGCACTTTGACAAATTATCTTTCCATAAGCCATAAATACACTTGCACTCACATCCCAACCAGCCAAATCTCTTTCGTTTAAACACCCACCCAATGGCGATTACGTTGCCCAGGGATGAAGAGCGGCAAGAGTGGGCGGAGGCGGTTCTGGCAAGCGAGTCTAATTTTGCTCATAATTTGCAATAAAACTCACACGTTCATTTACAAATCATTTATCAAAATAACGCCCAGTCCTGACAAAGTGGCATTTACCCGAGAGAGCAAGCAGAGAGAAGTTCGCAGTGGGGATGGAAACGGTTAGGTAACAGGTGCCTGGCAACAGAAAAGCTCGCATGCATTTGAATATAACTTTTAACTTTGAAGCCTACAGTAAGAAAAGCTAAAATAAAATTCAAAAAAAGAAACTGCTCTAGTCATGAATCCTCGAAAGGTCGAAACTCTGTGGGCAGGTCGAAGGTAACCTAATAGATCTTCATACGCACATACATTGAAACGTGGATATCACCTCTTGAAATACACGCTTACTGATGACGTCTTTGATTGCCATGCCATGGGAATATCTGTCGCGCTTAGTTACATGTCATCTGATAGACCACGTTAAGGACATGACATGCACAGCGTCTTTTGCTCTATATTCGAATGTTTGTAAGAACAGCTTGGCGCTGGGTACATAGTGTCTCCTAGTCGGGCATGCCGGAACGGGGAATGTTTCTTATTGCACCGCGCTAAGTGCAAATGAAAGCATTTTGACGACTCAATATACCCATCTTACGACTATTCTTTATACGGTTTTTATAATATTAGAATTTCAGAGTCAACTTATTCGTTAATAATGAATCCTTTCAACGGGGCTCAACAGAATTCGAATCTACCAAACTACTATCTCTTACTACTACTTTAGAATCGGTTTAGAAATGGAAATGGAGTGGCAAGGTACTCGATATCTCTGATATATAGGTTTTGTTAGTGTTAAGTGTTAGTTAAATATATATAAGTATTATTTATAGAAGAGTAATCAGTAACCTAACAAACTTGACGATTTAAGCAATTTAATTCTAATTTGAGAATATAGGGTCGATCAAATTGGGTTTCTATTGCTCATACTATCTGTAATGTTAAAAATCAGCGTAAAGTAAACAAGGCAATGATCATAAACGTATTGTATTAAAAAACAGATTATAAAACGTATTCTAAATGGGTGAATCGAGATGAAATACATACGTAAATATAGAATCGCAAGCGTCCAAAAGTGAAATTTATTCAATTTTTAATAGGAATTCGTTTTAATTGTTGTTGACCTCGGCGACAGTCCCTTTTTTTTCAATCTTTCCCATCAATATAAGCAAGATTATAGCATATTTATGCCACAGAAAGTATACATTTTCCCCATAGTGCTGTGGCATGATTATTTTTTTTTATTATCAGCTGCTGCCTTTAACTGGATGGCATTTATTTTTAGCTTCTGTTACTTTTGCTGTTATTTCACTGAAAACAACAATGCAACAGCAGCGCAGCATGTGACACCTTGACGCAATCAACCACACACACACACGCACATTTATGCAGGTGTGGCTGCAAAGGTGGCGACTTGAGCCAAGGTTGCAAAAATTGCATGGAGAACGACTTTGCTGTTGAGATTTTCTCTGCTTGTCCACGATAGAGCAGCTAAGGCACACACACGCATGCACAAGTGTGCACATGCACACACACACACACACACACACACACACACACACCAACACACACGCACCCCTGCTGTGGAATGCCATGGCGTTCAAGTGTCACCTTGCATCAGGTCGCTTTCAGGCCCAGTTGCTGGGCATCCATTGGTTTTTGGGGCGAGCTAAAAACAGTCTTTATAAAAGTTGTTCTTATTGTTCTTGTTTGTGTGTGTGTGCGTGTGTACAGCAGACACCCCACATTTAACTAAGCATCATTGAGTACCATCGATAGTTGTTGGTTTATATGTCGCCACATGCAACTTGAACGAACAGCAAAACGTTTCCCTATTTTTGGGGCAATATTGAGCCTTTTGGGCCACATTTTTAATTTAAAATATAGTTAAGTTGCAATTTTGCTGTTCACAATAAATCAAAAATCAAGATATTTACTCTACTCAAACTGTCTAGACAAAAATCAAAATGATTTTGCCTGCGCAAAAATCCCATGCATGTAAATATACATTGCACTACACAATATAATAAAAAATATCGAGGAATCATCGACTAGTAGCTTCTAACAAAATAGTTTCTTGTCTTTTATCTCTAAGCAGAAAAAATAAATATTTGTGGGCTCGCTTCACAGAGTAAGCCAAATTTTGTTCTCTCTGAAAATCAGACCCAAAA